TTTATGAAGCATAAGAATGCGTCAACCTATGGAACAAATACATGTTACAATTAGATGAGTGCACAATAAATGAGAGTTGTACGTAATGTAAGGAATAAGGGAAAAAAATGATGGTCATTTCACTTTTAACTGAATCCTCAGAGCTTTTTTTTTTCCCGTTGTTCTCTCTCAAAAGTGGTTTTTACTTGGCGTTTTGTAAACAACCGATCCAAGGACGTTTGCTTTTGTCGGCTTTTAACAATCCTGCGAAAAAGTCCAAGCCAAACATCGGCATAGTGAGCGATCGCCCGACTGGTGAGCACTTTTTCTGGGTGATTTACATTTACGTAAAACAATCCGAACGCCTCATGGCCCGAGGGCCAAATGACGAGGACGCTGCATAGACACATACGGTAGAAGTCCCTCTTAGCCAATGGGATTCCAGGATGATGCTCGGGAATAGCCAATGGCAGACCAGCTATGAGTATGTTGCGTTCAGGGAACTCAGAGCTGCGAGTCGCGGGCCAGACTGTATTTTTACCTTTCGTATCTTGAAATTAGAGGTACCACTGCATTAGTCCCCCTGATTAGCTCCTGCGTCGTTGTCTCCGCATCGTGCATTTGCCTGTCATGACGTTTCCGTCGCGCCCCCGTTTCCGCATCGCTGAATAATGGATGACAAACTGGAGCCGGCTTGAAAATCACTCTTCAAAAAAAAAAAAAAAAAGAGCACCAATAAACAGCGTTTTCAAGGCCACTCTTTATTTTCGCTGTCACACTCCCAACTCCTCCCGCCCCCTGCGTCCCCGGGGGTTGCGCGCCGCTAACGTTCCGTGACAGCCCTCCATCAAACTTCCACGCGGATCTCATTAAAGTCAGCCAGCGTTGAGTGGTTTATACCGACCGGCCCTCTCTGAGCCTCGCCATCCCCATACCTGCTAAACTTTCCTGAGGGCGTTGCTATGGAAACTGTTTGATAGGAGATAGTTTTGGAGTCTAAGCCCCCCCCCAACACCTCTCCAGCATCACTCAATCCCAGGAGAGGGAGCCATGGGGGCAAACGTGGGCGCAAACTCTGCGTGTGTTCGTCTTTCCTCTTTCACGCAATCTGAGGTGTGAAGGGACTTGGGGAACGGAGATTGCCCAATGGCTGCCAATCGCTCCCCGTCTTTCGAGCTGCGGCTTTCTTTGGGAAAATGTTGGAGAACCGGCCAGGATGAGCCACGCTGACGCTGTCGTCGGCGTGGAATTTTACAATCGGCAAAACGCAGACGTACTTCTGCTTTTTACTTTTCTTGCGTATGATGTGGTATGCTTTGGATCGCACGCTGTTTCCCTTTGCGCCCCCCATAGTTTTCATCTTCCTGTCCATGATGTGGTATGCTTTGGATTCAGAGCTTCACCTCCGTACATTTCGGAATTCTGGGCTTTGAATATTCAACTCGTTCTTCATTTCTGGGACACGGGCACGTATTTTTCAAAACACATTATTCTCTTTCCAGAAGATAGTGAGCACCTCGCTTTGCCTTTTCTCTCCCAGCAGTATGACACGTCATATTTCAAGCTTTGTCTCGGAGCTGCATCCTGAGTCAGAATGTCGCCACTTTGGTCCTAAAGATATACCGGAAGACACAACGACTTGTCATATATATATATATATACATATATATATATGTA